GAGAGAGATTGAATTTTTGGGCAAATGACATTTATAACTTTTGTGCTTATATACTCTTTCAAACAGAAGGGTTGTAAAGTTTCAAGAAAAAGTAATAAAATCTTATGAGAAAAAATTATTTCACCAAAAAGGAGTAACTTTTCAAGAACATTAAGCAGTTTCACGAAAAGTATAAGCCGAAGCAAAAGGTGTAAATTTTGAGTGAATTTATTTTTCACAAAAGGTTAACTGACTTGCGAAAAAGCTTTAAAGTGGGCATCCACAAAGGTGGTAAGTAGAAGAAAGGTATAAAATCTTATGCCAAAAAATTCTTACAACAAAAAGCAGTAACTTTTCGAAAAATTATAAAGCACGTTCCACGAAGGTATAAGCTTAAGCAAAAGGTGTAAAATTTGATGAATTTAATCTTATTCACAAAGGTAATAGTGACTTCCGAAAAAGGTTGTAAGTTGGCCTTCCACAAACGGTGTAGTTCGAAGAAAAGGAAATAAATCTTATGCCAAAAATTCTTACACAAAAGGAGTACTTTTCAAAAAAATAATAACCACTTCACGAAAAGGTATAAGCTTAAGCAAAAAGGTGTAAGTTAATGAATTTATCTTTTCAACAAAAGGTATACACTGACTTGGCCGAAAAGCTTTAAGTTATCCTTCCACAAACGGTGTAAGTTCGAAGAAAAGGTAATAATCTTATGCCAAAATTCTTAAACACAAAAGGAGTAACTTTTCAAAAAAAATTTAATAAGCACTTCCACAAAAAAGGTAGAAGCTTTAGGGAAAAGGTGTAAATTTTGATGACTTTATTTTTCCACAAAAAGGTTAACTGATCGACACGACTGTTATCCGACAGATATAGATACCGTTTTTAGTATAGAGCAACGGACAGAGACATAGAAGAAAGAGAGAGAGAAGAGATGAGAGAGAGATGAGAGATAGACTGAGATCCACAGACATAGAGACCTAGATGGACACTGATCGACAGAGGGACCGAGAATCGACAGAGAATCGACAGAGAAGAGACCCACATGGACACCGACATACCAAGTCGCTGGAGACATGCCCGGATAACAGGGGAATTCGACAGAGAGAGACCGACATCGACACAGAGAGACCAAGATCGATAGCCATCTTTCAAAAAACCTTTGATTTTGCGGCGGCGGTGCCCAGTGGAGGTGGCCGATCTCACGAAGAGCTGTGAGCACTGGAGCACCGAACGCTTGGGTGGTCAGCAGGTGGTCACGACCCTGTTGATTTGTTTCAGTGGTTGTCTCAATTGGGTTTATGAACACTTCGAAATGTTACTCCTTCTGTGTTTACTCTTTCAGATGAACAATATGTTACTACCTTCTGTGTTTAACGACAATTTTTTAAATGAACCCTTTGGTTACGTTCCTTTTCTTTCGTTATCAAACGCTTTTTGATGTTAGCTCCGTCATTACTTTTCGTGAAAATATTTACAAAACCATTTTTCAAAAAGTTACTGCTCTTTGTGTAAGAATTGTTGGCAATGTAAGATTTATACTTTTTCTTCGACTTACACCCTTTGTGAAAGGCCCAATTTAAACCTATTTCGGGGAAGTCCGACTTAATACCTTTCGTGAAAAAAAATTCATCAAAAATTTTTTTACACCTTTTTCTTAACCTTATACCTTTTCTGGAAGTGCTATACTATAATATTTTTGAAAAGTTACTCCTTTTGTGTAAAGAATTTTTGACTTCCGAAAAGCTTTAAGTTGGGCTTCCACAAAAGGTATAAATCTTATGCCAAAAATATCTTACAGAAAACAAAAGGAGTAAGTGTTCAATAAAAGTGTAAATGATTTATACTTTTTCAGTATCAGTTTACGCCTTTTCTGAAATTCCTTACGCACCTTTTCTTGAGACCATTTACACCTTTAGTCATATAATATATTAAATTTTATTAATTTAAACGCCTGGAAACTGACCCTGATTAGCAAGGTTCACCTAATGTGTAAAGTTTCCAAAAATATTTTGATATAACCCAATACAATAAATGTGCTAAATGCAAAAATGAGGGTGTAACTGCCGTTGCATACCATAATGCAAGGAACAGATGAATAAATCTTACAATTATTATGTTTGAGTATTTTGAAAAAATAGTAAAAAAGTGTAACATTTTACGCTAATGTATTGATATTTATATTGGTGGCAGTTTAAAAGTTATTTATTTCACTTTACGTTTAATTTAAGCTATTTTGAATATGTTTTGGTTTACTTATAGTTTATAATTTTAGAAGTCAAAAATCAGACTTATTCTTTGAGTGGGGGCGATAGAAGATGCTTTAATTTATAAGTCAAAAATCAATTATATTTATATTATAAATTATAAACTGTTTAGGTATAAAGTTATAAACACTTTCCAACAATTTACAAGGAACAACATAGTATAGTTATGACTTGTTTTGATAACTTCGATTAAAAAGGAACTTTTTGTCACCAGAAATCTAATGGTGGGTATTACCGACCCATGTTTTTGCCCCGTTGCATTCCGAAAATCTGTGCGCCTCGCCTCTCCCGCGGCCGACATGGCGGTAGTAGCTCTGGATTTACGGCGCGAACTTTCCAACTTTTTTTTTAAATAATCTAATCCTCTTTTGTGCTTCTTCTCTTCAACTTTCAAGTGCTCTCGCAGTTTCATTGGCTTCAATATCGAATTCCCAAGTGTTGTTTGTTCCATCCATCTTCAAACTTCTTAATTGCCTATTGTCCAGTTCGGGTTTGTTTGTTTGTTTGTTGTTGTTCGTTCTTCTCCTGTTTTATTGAATCCTGATATACTGGATTGGTTACGAATTTTGCAGAATTTCGATTAGGGAAAGATTTTGGACTCTTGGCAAGTTTTTTGATCTCAAGGAAACGAGTCTCGATTGCGGTACATTCGTGGTTTTGATTTTTCAATCTTCAAACTGATGTGCGAAGCATGATTAGTTGGCTTGTATCTTTAATCAATGCACCATAGCTATTGTTTTGGTAATTCCATAAGCTAATATGGTTATTTCTTTATTTTTATCTTATGAAAGTTCCATAGTTATTATTTATGTTATGGTATGGACAAGAGCTCTGTAATTAACCTAAACCCTAAAACCATAGGTGTTATATAATATATTTAGATGGAACTTTGGATTTTAATGAAGAAACAATGTTATACTTTTTTTTTTTTTTTTTTTTTTTTGACACGCCATGAGTATATTGTCTATCAGTCGAAGTTCTGTCCCGTACACTGTACATACACTAATGTGGCAGGATATATTATTGCTGCAATACGCAGGAGGAGGATTCGCTGCTAATATATAATTCACACCTAATATAGTCTTTGAGATCTGAATGTACCGGCAATCGAGACTCGTTCCTTGAGAATCGATGTTACTTGCCAGAGTCCAAAATCTTTCGCTTTCCCTAATCGAAATTCTGCAAAATTCGTAACCAATCCAGTATATCAGGATTCAATAAAACAGAGAAGAACGAACAAACAAACAAACAAACAAACAAACAAACCCGAACTGGACAATAGGCAATTAAGAAGTTTGAAGATGGATGGAACAAACAACACTTGGAATTCGATATTGAAGCCAATGAAACTGCGAGAGCACTTGAAAGTTGAAGAAGAGAAGCACAAAAGAGGATTAGAGTATTAAAAAAAAGTTGGAAGTTCGCGCCGTAAATCCAGAGCTACTACCGCCATGTCGGCCGCGGGAGAGCGAGCGCACAGAGATTTTCGGAATGCAACGGGGCAAAAACATGGGTCGGGTAATACCCACATTAGATTCTGGTTTGACAAAAAGTCTTTTTAATCGAAGTTATCAAAACAAGTCATAATCTATACTATGTTGATTCTGTTTGGTAGAATTGTGGGAAAGTGTTTATAACTTATACCTAAACAGTTTATAATTTATAATTATAAATATAAATTGATTTTTGACTTATAAATTAAGCATCTTCTGCCCCACTCAAAGAATAAGCTGATTTTTGACTTCTAAAAAATTATAAACTATAAGCTAAACCAAACATATCAAAATAGCTTAAATTAAACTGAAAGTTGAAATAAATAACTTTTAAACTGCACCAAATAGACACATTATATAAAATTCATACTACCATTAGCGTAAAATGTTACACTTTTTTACTATTTTTTCAAAATACTCAAAACATAATAATTGTAATTCTATCATGCTTAACTGCATCAAATAATTGACGTAATTATTCGATTCAATTATTTCAAATACTATATTATTTTAAATTTCACATGTGCCTCATGTTCAACTCTAATTATGTACATATGTATATAATTTACTTAGTTTTATGCTTTTTAAACAAAAATATGCACTTAAGATGGAAAAAATATTTAACTAAAAATATAAACATAAGATGTAATGGTTAAATATTAATTTTTTTTTTTGTGGTTAAATTAACTACAAAGTTATTGTTAAAAATATGATTTTTATAGACTTATTTTGGGCCAACTTTGAATCTAAATTTGAGTGAGTCTCACACGTCTTTTTGGGGTAAGTTTAAAGAGGTAACGTGTTCTTTGCCGCATGACAAGTCACACAGCGTAAATGATTCGTCAAAACCATTTATGAGTGAATGGGAAGTTGACGTAATTTTCAGGTTCATAAAATGAGAAATTAAAGAATCAAATATAGGTTTCCTTAAATGGTTGTCTCACATTGAAAACTTAAAAGAACTTATGTGTGTATATAAGTTCTAGTTGGTAATACTTAAGTTGGGCCCCAAGGGGCTGTGAAAACTCATATTTAAATTATTCTTGAAAGAAAATAAATAAATTAATTAAATTATTAGTTTTTTTAAATTAACCCAATTCTATCGCTAACAAAGACCCTATTAAGAATAAAAATGTTGTGGATGTTCAATAATTATTGTTAAAAATAAATAAATAAATAAACAAACAAATAAATAAATAAATAAATAAATAATAAAATAAAATATATATATATATATATGTATACAAACAGACAAACCGTGGGCAAACAACCCACAGTTCCTACCAAACCCACCATCTCTTAGAATTTAGGAAACCATAAAATTTAGGGAAAGCTTATTCTTAGAACTTGGAGAAAGGTAATGGCAGAGAGAGAGAGAGAGAGGGGGAGAGAGAGAGAGAGAGAGGGAGCTAGCCTCGGAGGTCTATATAATGCAGATAATAGTCATGCATAGAAGGGTAGGTTTCAGTGTTTGCATGCATGTATTCCTTTTGACGGGTGAGGAAGAAATAGGGAAGAAGAATTCAGCAGAAGGAGAAGAAGAGAAGAAGGTTTAGGAAGCAAATTCTTCTATCATTTCATCACCCATTTCAATCCTACTACTAGGTAAGAAGAC